AACACCCAAGTCCTGTAGTTCTTTTTGTAAAATCTTTGAGTGCTTCTTTGTTTTATGACCTCTTAAATCTAATTTTGTAGCAGATAATAGTTAATCAATCTTTTCTTACTGATATCCTACGAGTGTAGCGACCAAAAAATTGTCTTCCCTTTTTATTTTTCCATTACATAGCTTTACCATCTATGCACTCAATGTTTCATGAACTAGAATTGTACATACATGTTTCAGGCTCAAAAGATCCTTGAGTGTAGGTTGTAATTTAACTAGTAGCTTTTGGTAGTACCCTCTTCTATAGCTCATGAAAGTTAGATACTTTCCAGTGCTAACATGTGTATCCTTTCATGTTAGATGGACGTCCCCTTCTTGCGTCTGGAGGTTCCTTTGGTGTCATAAGCATCTGGAATCTTAACAAAAGAAGGCTTCAGTCAGTTATTAGGGATGCACATGACAGTTCTATAATCTCATTGAACTTTTTAGCAAATGAGCCGGTGCTAATGAGTGCATCAGCAGATAACTCACTCAAAGTAAGCTGAGATTTCTCTTACCTGTTGAACTTATTTGCATCAACTATGCCACAAATAATTTTTGTTTTATGCCTCGTACCTGTAGATGTGGATTTTTGACACAAATGATGGTGATCCTCGCCTATTACGCTTCCGATCTGGGCATAGTGCTCCTCCTCTGTGTATCAGGTAATTAGCTTGGGCGTCCACATCTTACTAAATTATCTGATTGCTTCCATTTGGCTTTTTGGTGTGTAAGTAGCATTTATGATCCCTATTCGTTGTTGAAGTAACTAATATTGGTCATCCTAATGATAATTTAAAACTTCCACTGATGAATTTCTGCCAGTTGACTATCTTTATAATGATGAATATTTGTGTTTCTTAGTAAGAGTATTTTCTTTATGGTGGCTCTATGAAGGGCATGCCAAATTGCCAATAAACGGTCTCGTATTCATATCTGACTTCCACTTGTGGTAGGTTCTACTCTAATGGACGGCACATTTTGTCTGCTGGCCAGGATCGTGCCTTCCGCCTGTTCTCTGTCATCCAGGTAAGATATGACACAGATTTAGTAACAATTCTATGTTAGGATTATGAAATTGCACAGCTTACAGAACATATGGGTAGTCTGTAACTTTTGAGCTATATTGTAGACATTGGCTATTTATTTGTCACTTTACAACAACAAATGTTAGGAAATCAGTCCTCCTTGGGCATCCATTAGCTGAACAGATGATCATAAAAGATTGTCGAGTTCAGTATTGTCATATTAATTAATTAATTAGTAACCATTTTCTTCCACATCATGTACTGTTCAGATGCAAAGTTTACAAAATCGGCTAGTATTTGTTTGTTGGGTGCCATTTCACTTTCAAAAATTTATTTTTTCTTTTCTTGTCTTTTACTCACCATATCTTACCGTTCTTTTGATGCGAATTTCTTCACCAACGTGTTTGTTTGATTTTTCATGAATCTGATTGTTATCTTAAATGTTGAGTTATCGTTACTTAATTTGTGGTTTGTATTCTCCCTAAAGATCTGATGTCCATTGACGATAACAGTCTTTACTTTATATTTATTACTTCATCAGGAGCAACAAAGTAGAGAGCTTTCTCAAAGACACATATCCAGGCGAGCCAAGAAACTCCGACTGAAGGTATAGCCAAAGGAGTTCTTTTGCTTTTTCTTCATGTTTTCCCTGGCCAGTTAGCATGCTTTAAGTGGTTCTGATTCAATTTAACAAATTATATACCTCATATATATTGTGTTTCGATATTTTCCGTGTTCGTAGTAATTTGTGCAACTGTGCATTGGAAATTATATATATATTTCGCTTATATCCCTTTTCTTCTCTATGTAGGACGAAGAGCTGAAATTGAAGCCTGTTGTTTCATTTGATTGCGGTACTTATCTATATAACTTGATCTTTACTTTTCATGTAATTATGCTTGGTTTCTTTCCATCACATTCTTAATATCATGATGTCTGAACAAACAAGACTAAAAAGTTGAAACCAATTGAGTTCCACAAAATGTGTTTAGCAGTAATTAGGTCCAAAATGGTTGGCTCTCAATAGTGAAAACGTTTATTGGTTGATCCCCATAGAGAAAGTACATTTTCTGAAGTGAAGCTTAGATCTTACCTTATGTTGTCCTTTGAATTTGCATGTTGATGACGAGAAAATTGGATCTCCCACAACTTATGTTATTGTCTGGTTATACATCCTAATGCTGTTATTACTTTCTTTCCATAAATTGCAGCTGAAATTAGGGAGCGTGATTGGTGCAATGTTGTTACTTGCCATATGGATACAGCAGAAGCATATGTATGGAGACTTCAGAACTTTGTACTTGGAGAGCATATCCTCAAACCATGCCCTGAGAATCCAACACCAATTAAGGTTCAAAACTGAAATTGACTATCCTTACTTCTGAACAAGAAAAGTAGACGTGCTTTAGTCCTTATAGGTGATTACTGTGAGAACTTGGAATTTGGATTATTGACTCCTCGTGAATAACCAATTCCACAAAAAATGAGTTTAGTTACAGTTCCTTCTAGCATGTTCAGGGGTTCTTGGTTTCTAGGAACAATCCTCTTTTAGCAATACTGGTCTTTTCGTCTCTCTAGTGGTTGTTGAACTCATAAAAAACTGCTTGTATGATAGGCATGTGCAATCAGTGCCTGTGGAAACTTTGCAGTAGTCGGAACAGCTGGTGGATGGATTGAGAGATTTAACCTCCAATCTGGAATCAGCCGGGGTAGTTACTTCGATATGTCAGAAAAAAGAAGGTACGCCCATGACGGGGAAGTTATTGGAGTTGCTTGCGACTCCACAAACACACTCATGATCAGTGCAGGATATCATGGGGACATAAAGGTTTGGAAAGTTTCAATTGCTTAGTTGATATGGCTACCTTCAACATTGACTCTAGTTTATGACTCAATATAGACTGTAATATTTCATTTGTGTAATACAGGTTTGGGATTTCAAAAAGCGGGAATTAAAGTCCCAGTGGGATGTCGGATGTTCATTGGTTAAAATTGTCTACCACCGTGTAAATGGTAAATTTTCCTAATCTAATCCTACTTCTTTACGGTCTCGCAAATGTATCATTTTCCGTTATTTTCTCCTTGGATACCACCGTATTGTCTCTGACTTCTGCTAATTTCTTATCAATTGCTAGGTCTTTTGGCTACGGTGGCGGATGATTTTGTTATCCGTTTATATGATGTTGTGGCACTAAAGATGGTTCGTGAATTTAGAGGTCATACTGACCGTGTAACGGATTTGTGCTTTAGTGAGGATGGCAAGTGGCTCCTCTCGTCTAGCATGGATGGAAGTCTTAGAATATGGGATGTCATATTGGCAAAGCAGATTGATGGAGTGCATGTCGATGTGCCAATAACAGCATTGTCTTTATCACCAAATATGGACGTTTTGGCAACTGCCCACTCTGATCAGAACGGGGTCTACTTGTGGTAAGTTCTCAAATCAATCTTCAATTCTTTCTTAAATCTCTCATTTACTATTACAATTTCTCTGTAATTGTCTGATGAGTTCACTCTCTCCCCTTGTGACCTGTCAGGGTTAACCAATCCATGTTCTCTGGGCTTCCAAGTGTTGAATCTTATGCTAGTGGGAAAGATGTCGTAAATGTTAAATTGCCTTCAGTCTCTGCATTGACATCTTCTGAAGCTGATGATGATGATATGGAGAGGCAAGTTTTAGAAAATTCTGGAGCTCTACAAGCTAGCAGTTTCTCAATTTCCCAAAAGCAGATCCCAGAACTTGTTACTCTGTCTCTATTGCCAAAAAGCCAATGGCAGAGTTTGATCAACTTGGATATTATAAAGGTATGCATATTCTTTTTCTTCGTAACTTTTATTGATGTTTGTTTCTTTGTTGCGTCTGCCAGTTTTTTGTGGAAATTAATTACTGTTTATGTTTGATGCTGTTTCATAGGCCCGCAATAAACCAATAGAGCCTCCAAAAAAACCTGAAAAGGCTCCTTTTTTCTTGCCCTCAATTCCCTCGCTTTCTGGAGATATATTATTCAAGTCAAATGACTCGGAAGCTGATGGGGATAATGAGGAAAAGAATAAAAAGGACCAGAATAGCATGAAGAACTTTGATGCATTGGAATCTCCATTCTCGAAACTTCTCAAGTCCTCATGGGATTCAAAACACTGTAAGTGGGTCTTTGTTTACGTTATTCAGGTTAATCAAAGCTTTTCTCGTTAATGTATGCCCTGCAATACTATTCTGAGCTCGTTGTACTTTTTGCAGTTTTAGATTTTACCAACTACATAAAGAGTTTATCCCCGTCAGCTCTCGATATGGAGCTACGGATGCTTGAAATTATAGATGAAGATATTGAAGAAGAGCTTATCAAAAGACCTGAGTTTATATCAATCGGACAACTTCTGGATTACTTCATCAATGAGGTCTCTTGCAAAAACGACTTTGAGTTTATGCAGGCGGTTGTGAGATTATTTCTGAAGGTAAATCAATTTCATTTCCCGTAGAACCAAGTAAACAGTGTCTTCGCAAATTACAGGCACCTTTACGCTTTTGCTTTTTTGGGTTGAGAATCTTGACTCTTCTAAACAAAACTCGGTTTACCTGTCGACAGATCCACGGTGAGACCATAAGGTGCCACCCGAGTTTACAAGAGAAGGCGAAGAAGCTTTTAGAAACTCAGAGTTTGGTGTGGCAGAAAATGGAGAAGCTTTTCCAGAGCACAAGATGCATAGTTACATTCCTTAGCAATTCACAGTTTTGAAGAAGCTTATAAACAAATATTGCTCTGTTTTTTATGTTGCTCTGTTTTTAACAAAATAGCAGTTTTGAAGAAGCTTATTATTACCCTGTCTTTTAGCTATGATATAATCAGTGATGATATAATCAGTGATATAGACCTAAGATCACAAATTCTTCCTCCAATAAAGTTACAAAAATCAACAAATGTTAACCCCTCAAACAAAACGGGACAAACAAAAAAACAGAGTTTGTTGTAAAAACAAAAACAAAGTATTGAAAAAAAAAAGAAGAAAGTAAATTAGTCAAACTTATGTGTAGTTGAGAGCTTCCTCTTCATTCTGCTATAAGGTCCAACTGTTCTATCCATAATATACATATAAATCACTTGTGACCATGACTTATACGACTCCAATCCTTCATAATACTCTCCTGCAATCTCCTTCACCAAATGCAGCTTATGTCCCGGTATCCTCGGGAAATCATGGTGCTCGTTATGGTAGCCGACACTCCATGTTAGCAGATTCAGTGGACCGTAATACGAATAAGTCTCTTGATTCGGGTTAAAAACATAATGTTCTGAGATAAAGTGTCCCGCCATTGGATGCATTCCGCCTCCAACAAATGTGGATAAGATTAGATACGCGAAAGATCTCCATCCGAAGAAGAGAACAACTGATACATCTAAAACTATCTGAATGAAGAAATTGATGAACTCCCAGTAACCAGGTGGTTTTGGTTTGATGAAGACCGGACGAAGAGCGTAAAAGAAGAGTTGTAAGAAAACCCAAATTGTTTTGGCAAAGATATTGGTTACTAAATGAGCTTCTGTGTAAGTAGGAACATCCATATCAATACCGTCTACTCCTTGGAACCGATGATGCTCGAGATGGTATTTTTGGAAAGTTACCGACATTGGTACACCGATTGGGAGATTGGCGAAAATACCGAGCCAACGATTGTAGACAGGAGTTGAAAAGGCAAGGTTGTGACTTAACTCATGGATTGCTAAGAAGAGATTGTGATTGAGGAATGATCCAAAGAAGTAAGCAATGGTTAGAATCTTGAGCCATCCTGAGTTGTGAAGGATTGCAGCTGTTGAAAGTTGAAGAATAACTACTAATGTGATCTGTATAGACAAATACAAAATTGATTATTCGTTTGAAAAAATACAGAGCAAATTGAATATTTTGGGTGAAAAAAGTGACATTCACCAACCCAAAATCGAACCAAATTTCTATTAATATATAGCCCTAACGATAAAGAAAATTTGTAACTAAAATGTATAATAAAAATTATAATCGAAAACAAAAATACAAAAACACTACTAAAAATGTATAATACTGATTAATGACTTAATGTAGTTTCTATTTATTTTAGTCTTTGTTTGATTTTTTATCCTAACTCGAATTGAAATAAAATTCAGTTGCTTGGACTCATCTCTAAAATGAAAAGAAAAAACCCTAAAACACGATTTTTTTTCCATCCCCTAAAAATACGAACTGAACCAAATAAAAAACAAATGCGGACCAAAAAAAACAAAAACCCTGATTAATGGTTAATATGGTGTAAGCAAGATCACATATGAATCAAAAACTCAAATGTTTGTTTTTCTTTATGTTACACAAACACAAATGTTATGGGGTCAAAAGAAATATCAAAAAGAAGATGAAGAAGAACAACAGACGTACGAGAAAAATGGAAAAAAGCAATCTTAGATCCGAGAATAATGGTAGAGACAGAGATAGGGAATAATGACCTTGAGGAAAGCCCATGGATCAGGACCAAAGAGTTGTCTAATCTGAGGATAACGAGAGAGAATCTGACGTCTCCTAGAAGCATGAGGCTCATCGGTGTAAGACCAAAAGAAATCTGTAGCCATGACTCCTTCTCTTTCTTCTTCCTTTGATGATATCTTCTCACGTCCTCCTTTCCTAGCTCATTCCTTTCTTCGTCTCTCCCGTCGGTTTTTGTCTCTTGTTTTTTCCGGTGAGACGACGGGAGAGAGAGAAAGTCAAACGAGAGAGAGATTTTGGTTTCGAAGATAAGTGGTGCAATTTAGGAGATGGTGCAGAGACTTTCGATGGTAGAAGAAAAGAGAAGACGTTCCACGTGCACATGCATGTGTGTGTGAGAGGAAATAAGCCAATAGTATGCGGGATTTTCTTAACTAACTATATTTAGTCATTTTTCAATCTTTTGATTTTAATTAATTGATGTTTTCGTATATTGTTTTTTCTCATTTTTTTTTTTTGATAAACCCTATCGGTTGATCCGGTCAGCCTCGGTAGGAACGCACCGAGGTGCTACAGAGTGGACTTCTCCCGATCCAGGTAGAATTGGGCCACCACACTGCCTGATCCGAGTTTGGAATATCTTCCGACTAATGCCAGGGGGTAGTTAGGCCGCCTGCATTTCTGACTACCAAGTAAACCAATTGGGTCAAGGTCCAACTGACAGACTTCCCAAACAAATGTGTTTTTGTTTCCAGGGAGAATCGAACTCGGGTCTGGGAGTTTCACCCTTCACCAAAGCTTCCTCTACCTTCCGATCCGAGTTTTTTCTCATTTCTGTTTCGTTATTGTTCCTATAATTGGATGGGGTTTTTTTTTACCAAAAACGTATTCACATCTTGGCTTTTTATGTAAAATGCTGAATCTTCTAAATGAATGTGTCAAGGGATTTTATTTGTAGGAAGAACATGTAGTGACAATATCATAAATAAGTAAAGTGCTTTTTCACACGTAATTGCTACATATGACGTGATAACATGTAAAATAACGTATTATCGGTTAAAATAACATGTTATTTGCTAATGACACACAAATAATGTCAAAACTATAACGGTAGCCTCTCTTCCGACGTATGTTGATTTGATAAAGACATAAATATGTAGCAATTTGAGACATTAGTACCTAATGAACGAAATTCACCCCCAACATCGACCATAGTTTTGAGTTTTATAATTATAATTAGTACAGTTTTCTTTAATAATAATAATAAAAAAAAGAGTTTATAAGTGATTTAGTGAGAAAGTCAATAACCTTGATAGTATTATTTTTTCCGTTTGTTATGAACATGTCAATGTATGCTCATTGCTCCACGACGTAAATAAGAAGTATAGAAGCCTCTTATACATATTTTAATTAATTTGATTCAGTTAAGGAAATTATGAAATAGCTGTAATTATAATTAGTAGTAGTTGACAAAAATGAGAAAAGAAAATACTAGTAGCTATTGTTATTGGCTGTATAAAAAGTGACATTTCTATTAGCTGCATGACGAGTCAAAAGTCCACTTTTCATGAGAAACACAATTTTGCATAAAATTACCACCATCATGAATTCTACTACATCACCATGATCTCTATTACATAACCGTCATGTCCTCCTCTACAGTTTTTACTAAACCACTTAAGTTAAAACTTTAATACATAAAAAATGATGTTGCAGCCTCAAGAGTTTCACAGTCCACAAAATGCAAACTCTATAGACCATATAACGGCTACAACCAAGTCTAATAAATCACTATACACCAAGACCTGTTTCACCACACACTGTCTTGAATCTTTGCAGAGACCCTCTCGCTTCCGGTTCCATTCAAGACTTACATATTGGACAGTGGTTAGATCATACAGGTCCGAGAATAAGGATTAGGAGTAACAGAATAAACTTGCAGAAGTGTGTCAACTGCATCAACAGTGAATTTTGTGATGTCTAAGCCAATTGGTTTGGTTTGCACTCTTTGCTCCTCAAAATTACTGATTTTCTGGTTATTCGATCAAAACCAATATAGTAGATGGGAAGTTCATTTGTTCGTCTATACAACACGGACCCACGTTCCACCACACATGGGGCAGCAATAGACCCAACGGCTGGTCCACCAGGTTTCTCGTTCATTCGGATTTGGCTGCTTAGAGGCACCCGGTGAAGCAAATGCAGATGTCTGCCTTAGGCATCTTATGCACTGCAATAAGAAAGATAAACATCTTACTAAGGTGTGACAGAAGAATTTTTCACTTCTTTATCACATTACAACAGTAAAGAAATGTTAAGAGAAATGTATGAGAGTAACCTTGTACCAAACTCCGTCAAGACCAGTTTTCCATGTCGCAGTGACAACATCCCTACGAGAACCCATGATTCCAAGATATGCACCCAAACCCACAGAAGTATTTGAACCAAAAGCTGCATCTCTTTCAGACATCCTGCGTTTTCTTGGCCAAAGACTATGGACTCTGTTGTATCCATCACATATTCCAGAAAAGCTTGTATCAGGCAGATCTAAGGAGTTACTCAGCTTGGAAGCATCGTCTGTCAGGACCATATCCTCAGGCTCTGACCCAGGACCACCAAACAAATTTCTTCTATGCCATTCTTCGGAAGGCGGATGAAGCTCTAACTCCCGAAGTAGAAGACCAGCAGCATCAGCTCCTCTTGGGCGAGGCATGTTCTGTTAATTCAGTTTTTACAACAAATTATCTTTATGAGAAACCAGAGAATATAGATCACAAGATATTATTTCATAATGTAGTTGACCAAATAGCACTAACAAGATCAACAAAAATACTTTTAATAATTTTATTATAAACACGGATTACCTGCATATGTGGTCCAAGAGCTGCTTCTACCACCTCGGGCAACACAGTGTAATTTCCATCAATATAATGCAGTCGAACTTGAATGTTTCCACTACCTACCTGAGAGCCAGGTAAGGGATGCGCAAGACCAGATGTTCGCTTGCAGAGATCCATTAGTATATGGAAAAGAACTCTCACCTGGAAGATCAGAAGCATACCTTGTCATTTAAAAAAACTTTCTAGATTATTGTACCATCAACATGGCATTGCTTTCTTCGTTTCAAAATCTACGAAGTCTATCATATTCACTCAGTTATAGTTTCCACCAACCTACCAAGGGTTCCCATTATTCTTACCCATATTGATCAGATTAAGCCTCTATTCTTGAGCTAACAAGAAAAGGGTTCCGCGGATAATAATTGTATAAAAGTAAAGAGGACACAAGGAATACAGGTGCCAACCTCCTCATAAGTATATCCTTGACCGGCATTCCCAGAACCCATCTTTGTTGTACGAGCAGAATTTTCGTCAATTCCTTTCACTCCAGCACCCAACTGGGCACCCCGGAATCCCTGGGCTTCCTCTATCCTGTTCAAGGCAGGGATTGGTTTAGCAGAGTTGACCTCTTCCAATTTGCTGGTAGCCCCCGTTTGAAGTTTTTGTGAACTAACATCAGCATTTCGCTGGGGAAATCGTGAAGACCGCTGGAGAAAACAGAAGAGTAACAGCTGACATAACCGATGAAGGAAATGACAGTCCCCAATGAGCCGAACAGCAGGTGTCCCTGGAAATGTTCCTGTATTGATGCTTATTGGCATGAAGGTCGGTGAACCACTGATTGGGTTTGCAGTAGAGTTGGGTACTCCATCATTCGAGCTACTAATTTTCGCTATGGCACCCTGCATCCAAGCTTGCACTTGTGTGCTTCCACTGGAGTTTGTAGTAGTAGTAGTAGTAGGTTGGCCTGCTGCATGATACAGTGACTTGTCAGGAAAAACTATATATAAAAGAGTTGGGATATCCCCCACTTGCACCCCTACAAGAAACATGCCAAACCCAGCAACAAAGATATCCAATTGTACCTCCCATAATCTACATAGAAAAAATAGCTAGACAATACGGTATAGTTTACAAAGATGAAGAATATCTAGACTTCAGAAGCTCATCTCATATTCATTAATTCTAGGACCAAACATGTGCTTTGTATCATCACCTACCAAGAAGGGAATGGAATTTTCTATCGCTATGTACCATTCAAATTCCCTCTTGTCATGCTGGAGTAAATTAGATATGACAAAATCAATAGTATACTGACCCTGAGGTGTTGCAGGAGATGATGCATTTTGTGTGGGACTGGTAATATTGCGATTACTGCCAGTTCCAGCAGAAGCAGCATGGCTCGCAAGAGTCCGACAAAAACTCGCATAGCGCCTTAAACGTGTGATGAAATGAGAAGCAAGATCAAGAACAGCATCCACATAAGCCTGTAAAAGAAGCGGAAAAGGAATTTGAGTATGGAAAGTTTTGCAACAGGAAACCAAGCTTGTATAAGGATAGTGATATGGTCTGTTTCATATTCAATGATATGAGATCCATGATCAGAAAATGCAATGTCGACTATATGTTCTAAAATGTCTTCAGATAATGCCAAATAACCAAATCTAATACAGCATGTGTTGGCTGGATTATAAAAAGTAAAAACTAAGATATATCAGGAAATAGCAACAACTCTTTAGATGAAAACACTGTATGAACCGTTCCCAGGTTTTGATCCTTGAATAATCATATTTCATAAAAGAAAAACCTAGAACTTCATCCTCAGACTTGGAGGCAGCAAGATACCTGAATACTGGAAACAAGAGCAGGATCAACAGCCATTGCATCCGGATTGATGCCTGTTATTGTCTCCCCATCTACTCGCCATGGCTCAAATACCAACGCCGAAGGATTCACAAGAGCTGATTCAATTCCCTTTCCAAGCATGTCCAACAACAACCTTGCTTGCATATCTAAAACCATGGCACGAACCTCTTGAGCATTGGTTCCTTCAAGCAACCGGCATTTGATCCTATCTAGGTTCTGAAAAGTATAAAAATACAAGTTCTTACCTAACAGCGCAACCAACCAAAAAGGAAAGAAAGCAAAAAAAAACATGAAGAATCTCAAGGGGACAATAGACTGCCAAGATTCTGTTCAGCGTCTTAAAATCAGTCAACCAGATGCATTGTATATTGGCTACTCAATTAATCCAAAATCAGATTCACTATAGGCAGTTTGTTCCCTTTTTTCTTTCTTTTTCTTTTATATTAAATGAAGCTGTATAAAGCTACACTATCTTATAGTTCAACAAAAGAACAACACAAAATAGGTTCTGCATGCTCATGGAATAGAGTAGCTTTATAGAGCTACATTATAAAAACCCAGAAAAAGAGAACAAGGTTTTATAAAGACATAATAAACAGTACCGCCACGCAAACAGTTCAGACATTTAAAAAGGAGAAAGATAATGAGTTGGGTTCGAGTTTAGAAAAACATACAGGGCCATATTGTTGTCTGTGCTGTGTTGAAGGAAGGGAATGAAAATCAGCGTCCATGACAGCAATCACACTGTTCAATGAAACTGTAATCATCATAAAAAGAAACACATCATCCTATGCTCTCAGCCGTATATTATTCAAACAAGACAGTATAACATTTGAACTACTCTCATTCGAAGTTCATATCATTCAAATCTTAGTGTAAAAAGCAAAATAGATAAATAGATAAAAGGTTCTGTGAATGACACTCGGCCTTTAATTACTAGAAATTATTCCCAAACTAAAATATAAACTATCATTTTCTAAGCAAAACTAAATCCAGTGGTTGTTCCACAACTAAAAAACAAAAAAATTCTAAGTGCAGATATTAAATAACATTTAAATCAAGAAACTTAGCACTAAAGTATACCTATCCCATCCTCTGCGGCACTCTGTGTGCAGCCAACTGCATCCCACCAATCAACTCCGACCAAAAGACTCCACCAGAATCTGTCAAGAAAAAATGCAGAGTCATATCTCAAGTCATTAAATAAGTTCCTTTGCAAGCAGACAAGCTAGAAAATATATACCAGAGATTATATACCTCTCAGCAATCGCCCGCTCCCATGTTGATTGATCAACCTTTGATTGGTTACGTGGAAGAGCAGGAGGAAGAACACGGATAATTTTCAACATTGCGCAGTCCTTAGCAGCATCATGCCATACAGAAGCCGAACAACAGCTTGTTGGAGAAAATGCGGGTGCAGCAATTGCAGATCCAACATTTATTTGATAGTTTTCAACGGGTGAAAATGTTGGACCAGAAAAGATATGAACTCCACCACGAAGAAAAGCAATCGCAATTTCACCACCATGAGCAGAATAGACAATCCGTGCAAGTGTACGAATATCACTTGGCAAATCAAAAGGATCAAAAACAACCTTGTTAGCCTTCTCATCACCAGAATCAGGCTCCTTTGGTGCATCCACACTTGGTCCTGCTGCAGCTACTTGATGATTTTTAAAATCTTTAGTAGGTGGTATGCTCATATCCACTCTGGATACCCAAACAGTTTGCGTGGGGACCTGTCCACCAAAATTTGAAGTTGGGTTTCCAAATATCTGATGCAGTACAACAGGTTGAACACTTGATTCCCAGCGCTGTACTCTCCAGCCTGTGATTGAAGGACCTTCATCTGGATCATATGGAGACATGTACTGCCCTGCAGACGCAATCAATTAGCATTTATTTTATTTTAGACAACAATATATGAGCATTTCTATATCACCACACAACAAAAATAGCATTTTCTCTCATCTGGCAGCTATGCTCTTCAATATATGAGCATTTCTATATGATTGACCAACAACTCAATGTAAACCTGAAAATGTTTATTCTATCATGGAAACAGTATGAGGTTCAGAGAAGGATGAGAACATTACCTTCAACTATAACAACTGCTATCACTGAACCACCACGAGTTGGATCAAAAGCAACAGCAGTAACACCGGATCCCCATGTTGTGGTTGCTGCAGACAGAGCTGCAGCCTCTGGACTTACATAAGCAGAAAAATTGGAAACCGGTGAGCAACTTAGCGATATAGCATCACTGGAATCTTGATCTGTGGGCTTCTTCCCTTGCTTTATCTCGGATATCAAGTACTCTTGCCAGCTGAACAAGTAAGCAGCTAAAGGAGCAAAGCCTGTCCAAGAAGAAGAACTAAGGGATGGTGGCACACGACTGCCTGTAGAGATTTTTGGAGTCGCCTGGAGTCCATTTCCAGGGCCAGGGGTCACCTCCCATACTACAATTGTTGAAGGGTTTACAATAGGAACTCCTGCTACATGCATGGCACCACTGTCCGTTATAATAGCATCAGCAGCCATAATTCCACTGGGCCCTGCACCTAAAAGACCTTTCTTTGTACTAAACCACTTTGGTGCAGTACCTCCCTGGTTAGAAGGCCACTGAGACCAATGAAGTTGAACAGAGCCGGATGAGAAAACAGAGCACACACAGAGAAAGTTGGGCCACCGAGCTGCAACAATAGGTCAAGAATCAGAACCGTCACATAAAGTGGAGGAAAATGCACTAACGTCATAACATAGAAATCATAACATGTTGTATTGATCTTGTCACATATATATAGATATGTATGTCAAAGAAACTGACATGATTGAGTGCATAGTTCTAAATATATCATCAAAAAATGAGTCACAAGAGGCAAGTAGAAGAAAACCTGAGCTTTCAGAGCTCTGCGAGAGAAATTTCTCCTCGAAAGTTGACTTTGCATTCGTACCAGAACTTGGCTTGGAGGACAACCACCTATACTGATTTTCAATAAAAAGAAAACATACAGAATAAATTTCCTAAGATAAAACTAGAGCAGCAAACTAGGTGGCCAGAAACAACATGATATTAGTCCTTCAGAACATGTACTTTGCAATGGCAGTATCATCTATCCATTACTCCTTATGTGTTCATGCCTATGATCATTAAAGAAACGTATCGAAGAATTGTAAATTGGAAGAACTTTAAGGAGTCTTGTAATTTCGCAAACAGAAAGTTGGTATTTCCAGGAAGTTGTGGTTTCTCCATCTCATTTCCTCGAAAACGTAGAGACATTTCCGGTTCAATTACTCACGATTTAGCAATTCCATTGCCTACTCTCACATGCATCCCCTCCGCTATTAATTTAATGAACCCGTAAAGGGACAAACATGCCGTGCATTTGATAAAAAGGCAAAATAAGTAAAACATAAAATTACATACTGGAGAAGCCCCCGCCAGCCACTTTGTAACAACAGCAATGTCCTGACGCCATTCATGCTCACACTGCCATGAGGTAGCATCGTGCACTAGATTAGCCGAACCCTACAAAACCAATCCACACAAAAAATCATCTGAGGGTGTGGTAAAACATCTTGACACAAATGCGACAATTAAAAAAAATAGATATAGAAGAATTATAAAGGCAAATCAAAGGTAAATCCCAGTGATCAGGAGCACAAACCTGAGTAGGCTGCGTCCAGATAGTTATCCGTCCATGAAAATTAGCAATGAGTAACGCACGAGGACAAGAAGTGGGAGACCATTCGATAAATTGGACAGAATCACGAGGAGAGTCTAGGTAAACAAAATTGCATCACAATCGTTTAAAAACCCTGAATCACTAGAGAAACCAAGTTCATAAATAAGCAAGTGATATCAAAATACCTGCCACAACATTAAACACCGCACACTCAGTTGGGCGCTCAGGTATCAAGATATGTATTGGGATCCAAAAAGGCGTATTTGCCTTGGAGCTGCAAGAGATGAGAAGATAGAAAGATGAAAAATGAGAAATTTATCATCTTTCATTATTATTCAAGACATAGAAAACTAACGAAAACCAAACCTTGGAATCCTGGCACAGGTCTCGGAAGCACAAGCAATAGCATTCAATTTGCCACACCACGCAACAGCACTGATACAAAGAAAAAAAAAAAGAGAAAACTTTCTAGGAATTGATGAGTTTGCAGGTGAAATTCAAAAACTTTCCGATCGGAGAAAGAGTCAAACCTGAAGTTACGGCACAATTCAGGAACACTCATCTTATGAAGCAAATTGGAATTGGGTTGCTTAAGCTTAACACAGAAAACTGTAGCCGGACTCACAGGATCAATCTCCATGTTACTAGTACTAGTATTATCGTCTTCTTTCTCTCCGTCTGCTGATTTCTCCTCCGCGACGACGACAATTGGATCCGTAGACTCAGTCTCTTCCTGCTTATGCTGTACTTGTTCTTTTTCCTCCTCCACTGTAGCTGGAGCTTCAATGTTTCCTCCACCCAAAGAAACTTCTTCTGGGTGTTGCTGATTCATGTCAGCGAAAGCAAACAAAACCCTAAATTTATAGAAAAATCGGAGAAAAGAGGCAAGTGTGTGACAAAAAGTCGCGATTGAAGGCGACAGAAAGCACTGTGCGTAGAGAGAGAGAGAGAAAGTGAGAAACTATTAGTGGGGTTAACGAGAGGACTTAGTGCGGGGAAAATTCCAAAATCCCCACAAAATCAAAATCGAAAAAAATGCAATCTTGAATTTAGGGTTTTTTAGAGTCACAGTCTCGTCGCCGGGATGAAGAAAATTAAAAACTCGGTGAAAGTGATTCGAAAACGCCGTCGTGACTGGTGACTTTCTCTCTATGAACTCTTTTTTTTTTTTTTGCTCTTTTTGCAATTTTAACTTCTTTTCTTTTTGGATGATTTAAGACCAAAAAAAATGAAGAAGTAAAATTAATGATAGTTTTGAATCTTTTGATTAAGGAAAATGATCATAAATTCTTTTTTTCCTTCTTCTAGCATACCATCTTCAAATTCATACTTGTAACTTGTAAACATGGAAAGGTACTAATTACAAGAGGATGCTTGTTTGGCATTTGGCAATGGCATGGGGCACATTAGTTCCTTTGCCTCCCCCAAATCGAAAGTTAGGCATTAAGTGTCTCTCCCATGGTTGTTGTATCTCCTCAATGTAGCATGGCCAAGAATGAGAATCACTTATTGCTTGCACCAAATTCTTTGAGTCATATTAAGCTTATCAAGCCATTGCTTAGCGCACTGGTTTCACTGGAAACTCGGTGCTTCTGCTTCCAAACTAGATACAAGGGATAAATATGTCGTTGCACCATACCATCAGGGCCGCCGGCCCAAGTTTTTTTGTTGCCTAAAGCAAAAATGAGTTTGGCCCATTAAAGAAAATCTGTTGAAGAAAAAAACATAAATTCTGTCATGAACTAGGCTTGAACTCAACACGTAGAAGATGACAGTTAGTAGCATTAACCACTATACCACATACATTTTTGAAATATCTGATGCCTAAAACCCTAGCTTCACCGGCTTTGGCTCCGGGCCGGGACCATTCGTCTTTTGAGTTTCTAGACCTTTTAATTTCATATTTTGATAATTGATCATAGATTGAGTTCAAAGTTTTGAAATATTTATTGAACAATAAATAAATGTGTTTAATCCGGATTTTCTCAAATTTTAATTGTGAGGATGTGTTTCATTACTTGCTCAAATAATGAATGAGCAAGTTATTCTAAAATTTTGAATGAAAAACCTAATTAAGAAAAGAAAAAAACAAAGACGAACTATGATTTTAAGTGTTGCAAACCGGATTATAATATCGAACCGAGTTACTGAATTTGAGGGGTATGACCAGATTTACCGCTTTTTGGTTTAATTCAGACTCGAGTATTGGTCGAACCGGACGGTATGGTCTGGTTTCCAAAATATTGAGTTTTTAGGAGACTCAAAATAAAGATCTTTGATCATTCGTCGTCGTCTCTTTAATCAATCCTTCTCCCTCAACATTTTCTTCTTCGTTAAGGATACAAAATTCACAAACGACTCGAAGAAAAACCTGAGATCGAATCAGCCATGGCGGGTCGTTACGGATCGCAAGTCATGACGATGACTGTGACCAATACTCCGTCTGCAGATCTAGCTTTTACTAACCTCGCTTACTGCTCCTCTTCCGATCTCCGTCAATTCTCCGTTCCCGGTTCCGATCTCTTCCTCGCCAACGTTGCCGATACCTTCATTCTATCTCTCTGATATCCTTTCTTTTTTCCATTTCATGATTCGTTTCTTACATTGCAATGCGAAAGTTCGAGTTGATTGTTTATGTGAAATGGTCTTTTTTTGTGATTACTGCTAAATTTACCGAAAAATTGGTCTTCGAAAGTTGAATCTCAGCCTAGGAATTGTTCTTATATTGATTGAATGATCTATGAGCGTAGTACAAGTACAATTTAGGTTTTTCTGGTTTTCATGGATGATAAAAATCTGAGCTCCTTTGGAATTTGACAATGTTGAACTTGTTAATTGTGTCATTTATTTTGATTTTTGTGAACTTAACTGTTGATTACTGGACATGGAAGCATCCGTGATGGAAATATTGCTCTCAATGCTATTCAAAGGCGGCATGCTAGAGTTTCGACTGGTGATATGGTATCTGTTAGCAGGTAATTATTATCATACAGTTTGTTTTCTTTTTATCATAATCTTCTGGCCTAAATACGCTTTTGGTTTCTAAATATTGTCTTGTTCTTGCAGATTTGTTCCTCCAGAAAATTTTGATCTGGCTATGCTGACGCTCGAGTTGGAATTTGTAAAGAAAGGGACTAAAAGCGAGCAGGTTTGTTTTGATATCTATGATGTGTTTCTTGGGATCTTTTTAGGCTTTGTGATTGAACTCAACTTCTCTGTACAATATTACTTCCCAGGTTGATGCTGCTCTCCTTTCTACCCAACTTAAGAGGAAATACACCAACCAGGTAGAGATATTCTTGTTCTGCTGTCTCTATTTTGTTAGTTGTTTGGTTTCTGGAGATACACATGTCTTGTGCTGTGGTTAAAACATGCATCTGAGAGGAAAAATGAGAGAACTGTGATTCCTAAACAGATAAGGTCTATATAAAACAGATTAGCTGGTATAGATTCCATTTGTAGCAATGTGTACATGGATCTTGTCATTTACATTATTTTTCTGCTGAAGCATTGGTTTTCAGTGAATGCACTTGGTGACCATTCTGCAAATCCTGTAATATTATGCTTACAGTTATTTACTCCTGTATTTCTTGATTATGTGGTAGCACTTATTTGGTTATTTGGCCTTTAGATCCTCACAAAATCGTATTAGCCAAATTTATTGAACCAATGCACACTGATGCAGGTCTTGACTGTAGGCCAGAAAGCAACATTTGAGTATCATGGAACTAATTACATTCTTACGGTCAATCGAGCGGATGTAGAGGGTCAGGATCACTCGAATGGCATCGAAAGAGGGTTGCTCTCTAAAGATACATATATTGTGTTCGAAGCATCAAACTCAAGTGGCATAAAGGTCCGATTTTATAAGTTCTCTGAATCAGTTACTCTAAAAATTCCTACTAAATGATGATTCAATCTGACATTTAAAATAGCAAACATAATAATATAATATCACATCTGATGCTTGCTATCTTCTGGAAACAGATGTGGATGGCTATCCTGTATCAACATTTTTAAATTTTTTATGTTCTTATGTAGATTGTCAACCAACGGGAAGCTGCTAGCAGCAATATATTTAAACATAAGGAATTTAACCTTGAGTCGCTGGGCATAGGTGGTCTGGGTGCAGAGTTTGCTGATATATTTAGAAGAGCTTTTGCTTCTCGTGTATTTCCTCCTCATGTCACCAGCAGGTTACTGGCTCATTCTTCAAGCAAGTGTTAGACTGTATGTGTAGATATATATTCCTTCTAAGTTTATCTTTGTTGATCTTGCAGATTGGGAATAAAGCATGTTAAAGGGATGCTTCTTTTTGGACCTCCTGGTACTGGCAAAACCCTTATGGCACGGCAGATTGGAAAAATGCTTAATGGAAAGGATCCAAAGGTATTCTGATTTTCATAATAGTCTCTCAAGAAGATTTATGATAACTTACTGGCTTGTAGTCCTTAATTTCATTTGTGTTTTAAATTAGTTTGTTACCCAGGATTTCACTCCAATTTATACACCTAAATGTTTTATCACTTCATGATTTGTTACCCTGGTTGGATGTACACCTTCTGCGAAAACCTGTTGTTGACGGTTTAATTATCTCACTATTTTCTTCATACATTGGCAGCCGCAGTCCCTGTTTTAATTATTTGCCTCAATAGTTTACAACATTTTAATGTTTCATTCACTGCCTTTGTTCCAGAAATCCACATGTTTAATGCTTCCATTGTTCTTTTGCTGGCATTATATAGATTGTTAATGGTCCTGAGGTGCTGAGCAAGTTTGTTGGTGAGACAGAAAAGAATGTAAGAGACTTATTTGCTGATGCTGAGCAAGACCAGAGGACCCTTGGTAATGAAACATTGTTCTTTCTGATCTGCTTTTGTGTTTTCTTTTTCCAGCGCATATGCTAATTGGGCACTCTTATTTTCTTTCTCAGGTGATGCTAGTGAGTTGCATGTCATTATTTTTGATGAGATTGATGCTATTTGTAAGGTAAACAACTTATCTTTTCTTATCTTTGATGATTTTGCTAATTTGAAGCTGTAAATATGCTTTTAATTTTGACAACCAGTCCCATTAACTCTGGGTGATAAATCTTGCTATTACTCTCTGTTGTGACTGTATTTTTCTGTGTAGTTTGGGTATTATTAACTGTCGTGGGATCTACTGTTTATGAGTTTAAACAATAAATTAACGATTTTGGTATGCTTTGTGATTTTCAGTCAAGAGGCTCAACCAGAGATGGCACAGGTGTCCATGATAGTATTGTAAACCAGCTTTTGACAAAGGTCAGTCAAAGATCAGAGCTATTATCTGTTTATTCGGAGTTTTCACGGATGTGACTAACACCCTTTTATAGATAGATGGTGTGGAGGCCTTGAACAATGTTTTGCTGATTGGAATGACAAACAGAAAGGATTTGCTTGATGAAGCTCTTTTAAGGTACCTCCATCCTTGTGCTAATAGATAGCAGCCGTTTCTTTTATACTGTTACACCAGAAACAGTAACAGAAGGTTTTGAAGTAGCTTTTATCTTAGGTTTCTCTATTTGTCACTTGAAAATATACCATCCAAAGTGTATTTGCGCTTACATGAACTTTTGGAATGAGTGTACTAAATGCGAATTTAGACTTTTATTCTTTTGGACTATAGGCCTGGAAGATTGGAGGTTCAGGTTGAGATAAGCCTTCCTGATGAAGCTGGGCGTCTACAAATTCTTCAGATTCATACAAATAAGATGAAGGAAAATTCTTTCCTTGGTACTGATATCAATCTCCAAGAGCTTGGTATGTCTTCATACATTATACTTGTTTAAATCATGGAATGTTTGGTACACCTGTTCTGTAATTCCAAATATCACCACCTCACTGGATGAAAGATTTATTCTTTTGAAGATCGTCTAGTAATTGTATTATAAGACCTAAGAAATTCAGTCTTAAGCTTTGGATTAGTTGCTAGTAT